CAGATGGTATAAAATTGCTCTCACAACATAATGAATGGGAATTTTTTTTGATAATACTAAGAAAATTAGGGTTAAGATGTAACTCTGATAAATTTATCAATATATGGGTACTTAACAATCACTTGCTGGTCCCCCTTAGAGAGGGACGCATCAAGTACAGAACTTCCTAGACTGGTTTCTAATGCTATTGAACTTGAAGATGCTATTAAATCTGATTAGTATTCTTCCATACCTTCATCTATCTAAATATATTTGTTGAAAGCTTAATATTTACCAAGCATAGTACTATGTTTTGGAATCCAGCAAAGAAAACACACAAAGCTTATTCTAAAAAATACAGACACCTATTCAACCCATAATAATTATGCTATCCACCCTTTGTTAGAGCTGGGAAAATTTAGGGGGAGGAGGAGTGAATTTTAGTAGGAATAATCCGAAAAATTCAAAGTTGAGATGACTGTACAGGAATGTAACATACAGCTGTACTGTTTTACAATGATACAGAGGTACTGCATAGGAAAGCATGAATGCTCTGGCATGATGCTGTGCCCCTCTGGAAGAAGAGACTCATTTTCCAATTTTTACAAAAGTGTACAATGGGTAAGTAGAGTCCATGAAAATGAGAGAGAAGGTGGAAATGGCTAGTAGGTAGTTGCTCAAAACTGCATCTGAAAACCACTTTGAAAGCCCAAGGTGATTCATCTCCATCATTCTGGCCCTGTCCACGCATGAAGAGTGCTGAAAAGAGATCTTACCACCTCTGAGTCAGGCTTTTGTGTTGTACCCACATTTGCAATTGTAGACACAATTCACTTAAATTGGGAAGAGTCCTTAAAAGATCATCAACATAATTCTTTGACTGAAGAATCAGAGAAGTAGAGAAGTGATACTTTTCAAGGACATATGAAGTGCTTAAGTATTTTGAAGGTAGGACAACTTTTACTGCAGTAACAAGCGATCCCCAAACCCCAAATGCTTAAAACAATGAAAATTTCTTGCTCACTCTATACATCTGACAAGAGGCTATGCTTAGAGTCTTTCAGGAACCCAGGCTGATGGAGACTATATCCCTGTAGCAGGAAGAAGGGAAGTTGGTGAAGGGTATATTGCCTTTCAGAGCTTTCATGTAGAAGTAATGCATATCACTTCTCAGTTTTTTGTTGTCAAAGCAAAGGGGTTAGAGTTTGATCCTATGTGTACAGAAATAGAGCTGTCATATTTATGAAAAGCCTTAATGACTACTATACCAGGTTAAGGAAGGAAATGTGGGTACCACACAAATCAACTATGTATTATTTGAATTACATACTCACTAAAAATTCTTCACTGTATTAAGATATATAGAAAGTGGCTATCTTCCCTCTGGGTTATAAAGTTACAATAGCTATGATAACAAAACACCATTTGATAATAGATGAAATTTTTAAAAAGGTTTTGATGTGGGCAGAGTATAAATCATATAAAAGCTCACATTATTTATATTTTCTATTGAAAGGAGACAGAAAGAAAAAGCCTAAACAGTATTTCTCCTCTATTCTATATAGCTTGCTCTAAAGACCTACGCTGTGGTCTTTATTTATTGGAAACACTAAAATGAAGGCTTATTACATTTTATGACATTCTGGTCCATCTTTTTAGTATAGTATATAGGATAATTGCAGCAGGCAGTGTCTTTTGCATACCCAATAGCCACTTTCTCTTCCCTTTCTGGTAGAATTCTGACTTGCTTCAGTATCCACTCTGCCCACATAAGACTTGTGAGAAAATGCTAATTGGTCAAATTTAATCATTGTCATGCTATTCCCTTGCCTGTGTTATATTCAGAGGTGAATTTATCACTTTTCTGGACAGTGACTAATGAGGGATAGTCTGAAGGAAAGCTTTCTTCACTTTGAAAAATAACAAAGACAGTAATTTTTCTTGCTGGATATTGTCAAGTCTGTATAGGATGCCTGGAACTGTAGCAGCCATCTTATGAGAATGGAAGAAATGGTTTAGGAAAAACAGGCTGAGAAACTTGGAGGGCCCTAAAATTCCTGAGCTCCATCTTCTGTTACACAAGATTAAAAAAAAAAAAAAGCTCAATTCTTTAAGCCAGTGCTTCTTAAAATGCTGGCTTGAAACAAGATAAAGAGCTATTCCGGAATATATATAAACACACTTTCCTTCATTAAGGGTTTGTCTGCAAAGAAAAAAAGATATCAGATGGACTAAACAGTAGTGACATAGTTGAGTTACATTTTGGTGCAAATTTAAACTCATTTTTTTTTTTCAACTGGATTATTTCAATATATTTATGTTTGGTGGGAGAAGCAATTTCCAACTATCCAGGAAAAATTCATTTTTATTCGTAAAGTATTGAAACATACATTTTGGTGCATAAAAGGTCTAGAATTTGTTTTTAGATAATTTTTATTCTTGGCTTCAGATTATTGAGAGGATTAACAGAATAGAGAGTGTTCATGGATCACCAACTAAATTATAGATGCAGGATACATGAATAAAGAAGCCTCTCTGGGCTCAGAAAGATCACAGGCTGGTATGAAAGGTAGATAAGGAAATCAGTAATTACAGTACCTGCTGAATTATAAGCCTGTTTACAGGGTGTTAGAGATTTATGTGGAGTGTGTTATGGACAATGAAGAGAATCAGCAAGGGACTGGGTTTGGTGGCACATGCCTATAATCCCTCAGAGAACGAGGGATTGCAGCCGGGAGTATGAGAACAGCCTGGGCAATACAGTGAGACTCAGTCTCTTCAAAAAATAAAATAAAAAAATATTAACCAGGGACAGTGACAAGCCCCTGTAGCCCCAACTACTCCAGATGCTGAGGCAGGAGGATCCCCTGGAGGGTGGCAGCCAGTTATGATTGTGCCACTGTACTCCAGCCTGGGTGCCAAATCGAGACCCCATCTCTTAAGAAAATAAAATAAAAAGGGGAGACTTTATAGAAAAGGTGGCACCTGAGCTAAATTAAAACATGGAGGTGGTACATAAAACTGTGTGATATGGCTGGGATGAGGCTGAAACTATAGGGAAGTGACCATTGTCATGGTGAGGTGTTTTACAGTGAGTAAAATGATGACTTGCATTTTAGCACTATTATTCTGGCATCACTTTTGAAGACACAGTGTCTGCAGCACAGACCAATCTATTAACTATTGCAGAATTGCTCTGGGATCAAATTTAACGACTTACACAATGCCCATTATACTTGCCCCATCTCGCTTGTTCCAATTAAGCACTCTACACTAGAAACTGAAGGAAATTTGCTTCAATTTAGGTATATTTTATTTTCTTTTCTTAATTTTGAGACAGTCTTGCTCTGTCGGCCAGGTTGGAGTGCAGTGGTGCGATCTCGGGTCACTACAACCTCCACCTCCCGGGTTCAAGCAATTCCCCTGTCTCGGCCTCCTGAGTAGCTGGAATTACAGGCGCCCACCACTACGCCCAACTAATTTTTTGTATTTTTAGTAGAGATGGGGTTTCACCACATTGGCCAGGCTGATCTCTAACTTTTGACCTCGTGATTCACCCACCTCGACCTCCCAAAGTGCTGGGACTACAGGTGTGAGCCACTGTGCCCTACCTCTATTTTCATTTTTAATCTTCACAACTACACTAAATCAGATATCAACTTAAAAGTGAGGTACAGATCGTTGAAGATGAGGAATGTATCAACCCTGGCTTTGGATCCAGCCAAGTCTTAGTTCTGAGCCCACATACTTAACCTCTATGGTCTCTGCAGCAAAACCTACATTTTGAATTACGTCCTTCACTGTGGCCATGGCTTAATCATTGAAACAATGATAGTGACTTGTCTTTAAAACAAATCCTGGATTCTGACCAAAATTCCTACTCTGGTATTCTAGCGAGTTAGGGAAACATCTGCAAAAGGTACAAACTTTTTACTTGGTCCTGATTAGTTTCACGTGGGCATTTGTGGGTTCATCCAGTGTAATTTTTTTTTTTTTCCGAGAATCGGGACTTTTTTGGAGACCTCCAGGTTTTAAAGATTGGCTTGAATTTCAAAAACCAGTTTAGGGAAGCAGAAAATTAAACTGCTGTTATGGTTAACTTTGTGTCAACTTGACAAGGACACAGTGCTCAAATATTTGCATCAACAATCCTCTAGATATTTCTCTGAAAGTGTTTCTTGAATTATTATGAGTTTCCCATTTAAGTCAGTGGACTTGGAGTAAAGCTGACCCTCTTTATAATGTGGCTAAGCTTCTTGAATTAGTTGAACATCTTAATGAACCAAGACTGACCTCCCCCAAGGAGGAATTCCGCCAGCAACTGCCTTTGCTGGGTCTCCAGCCCGCTGGCATACCCGTATTTCCAAACCACCAAGCCTCCAGAATCGGATGAGACAATTTTTTCTATGTGCATCCTCTTGATCTGTTTGTCTAGAGAATCCTAATACAGAAACTAAGCAGTTATAAACCCTCTGTAACTTATGCACTTACAGCCAGCCTACTGAAGCCTTTTTTTGGGGTGGCACCATCTGTACTATTACAAGACAGGTAGAGCTTTTTTCTCTCACATATATCCCTTAAATACTTTTCTAGCTAGACTTAGCTACCCATAACTATTGATTCCTAATCTATTTTAACATTCTCTCCAAAAAATTCAAATTTAGGACTTGTGAGACAAGTTTTTATATAACTTACTAGATCTCAAAAACAATCCAATGAGGTAAGACTTATCATAATTTCCAAGAAAACCAAAAAATCATCTAACAAACCTTAAATTTACTCTTGCTTCTCCTTTTTTTTGAGACAGAGTCTCGCTCTGTCACCCAGGCTGGAGTGCAGTGGCGCGTTCGCACCTCACTGCAACCTCCGCCTCCCAGGTTCAAGTGATTCTCCTGCCTCAGCCTCTCGAGTAGCTGGGACTACAGGCATGCGCCACCATGCCCAGCTAGTTTTCTTCTATTTTTAGTCGAGAAAGGGTTTCACCATGTTGGCCAGGATGGTCTCAATCTCTTGACCTCGTGATCCACCTGCCTTGGCCTCCCAAAGTGCTGGGATTACAGGTATCAGCCACCTTGCCTGGCCACTTCAACTTTTTCCAATGATGAAAAACCTTTATGTTCCACACAAGGAACTCTCTCAATACAGGATACCTGATCTATCACTGAATAATCAAATAACAATGACACACAAGTACAAGAGACATATGAGCAAAGTCATATAAATTAAGGCTGCACCATAATTAAGTAGTTATCAGGTGACTGTTGAAGAACCTAAAAGTGAGGCCCTAGGTGAGAAACAAAAAAATCAAAATGGAAGTTTTTAGCAAATCAGTAGTTGTACCCAAGGGCCATATAAGAAATCTAATGATATAGTGGGGAGTGGCCTACACAGCTATTTTTTTTGATGAAGGGATATAGAACCACTCAGAGCAATTTTTAAAAAATCCAGAAATACACTTTTATGGAAATAGGTTTTTAAATGTTGGTTTAAAAACAGAGCATCACCCTTTCACCAAAGTCTGGAGGCCAAACAGACTACCAGTCTGGAGTCTATTTTATTGCAGCATTTTAACATCAGTGGTATTCCAACAGTGAGCAGATGAAAATACTCAGTAGTTAGTTACTGTCCTACATCTTATACAAAGTCCTAAAATGTAATGACTTCATTACATTTTAAATGGCAAGCAGCATTTCACTACTTATAAAATAAATTCGATTCACATATATAATTATTTCACTACTTATAAAATAAATTCGATTCACATATATAATTACTAATCAGAACTACCTTTTATCCCATTTCTACTAGGCTATATGATAGTGAAAGCACCAGAATAAATTGGGAGTACTTACTATATTACAAATTACACAGTATTATATTCCATTTCAAATATTCTTTTATTCATTCTAATTAAGACTAGTACTGGTCACCAGAACACTTACTGAGGCAAACACTTCTGTTTTAGGTTACAGACCTAGAGAAACACAAAAAACAAAACAAAAAAAGAATGAAGCTCCTAAATATCTGATTATCCAGAACTTCAACTGGAATAACCTAATAGTTTTCCTGATGATTAATCAATCATGGGAAAAATAATTTACTATATCAAAGTATAGGGCAAGAGCAAAAGTATTTTTTCCTTCAAGTTAATGACAAAAAAAAAAAAAATTTGTTTTTCCTTTTTATTGCATAAATTACCAACAAAATCCTGACCTGGGAATCAAAAATTTAATAATATAACCTCAGTTTAACACCATTAAATAAGCTAAATCTCAGAGTAATACTGGAATGTTACCCAAATTAATAAAGTAGGCAAATGGCCAAGTATTACATTCCCTATTTCAAAAAAGAGGCATTAAGCATTCATGTCATAAATTTATTGACAAACATATCTAGCATGCCATGAGTTAGAGTTTGATCCATTTCCAGAGGCTGTATCTCTTAAAATACTCTTCATATCTGCAAAATAAAAAACAGAAATTAATGGCATTTTAAAAATCTCATTAACAGAAATCATGTAGTTTCATGAAAATATTTTCTATCAGTTTCAGTAGTACATCAGAAAGCGTTTACAGTATCATGACTTCATTCATACTGATTTGCTTCATCACATGCACCGAAACCTTTCCGCATTAGTAGCTTGGATAAGTTATTCCCCCTCTAAACTATGACAGTCTTTCCGATCATTCCAGTGTTCTATAGTATTACTCTGAGAAATTCTGACGACAATTAAGGTAAATAAATATTTTAACCACTCACAGGAAATCTACTAACCTTCCAATATGAAGGACTCCTTTGAGCATGTATTAACATATCCCCTTGACACAAGGCTTCTCAACCTCAGCACCACTGGTATTTTGCCCTCAACTTGGAATGATCAAAAATGTCTCACATTGCCAAATGCCCCACTGTGTTGTAAAATCATTCTCATTTAAGAACCACTGCCTTAATGAGGAAAGTATATTCAGTTTGAGTTTCCCAACATGGTTGAGTTGGTGAGGCATAGATTTACAACTGCATAATTATCTAGGACTTATATATCAAGGAACACTAGAAGGGTTTTCTTCATCTTCAGGGATTTTTTTCACAACTTACACAAGTATTGCAAGCCAATTTAAAAACTGGGAGCACAGTGACCACTTTCTCAAAGAAATGGAAACGTTTATAGTGTTTTAAAAGACATATTCTCAGCCACTGTTCTAGTAACAGTGTTTAAGATAGAATAACATTAATCAGTTTGTCAGAGTATTACCTAGTTTAAAAGTGTGAGCTCTGGAACAAGAAACTGCCTGGCCAAGAGTCCTGGTCCACCATTATACCAGTTATGAGATCTTGAACAACTTAACATCTTTGTGTCTCAGATGGGGTTACTATCATCCGCCTCACAAGCTTGCTAGAGAACATGAGATATCGATGTAAAGTGTACCTGATTAGCAGTAGTGTTCAATAAACACTGGCCATTATTCAAATATTTTTATACAGGTTTACAACTAGTCTCCACCAATGCCACACCTACATATAATCTCAGGAATCAGCCCTACTTAACAATGTATTTGTGTGTGTGTTCTGGGTGAGGGGGAAGAGGCTACTTAATAAAATGGCCTGCTTTAACAAGATTAGAAATCCATGAACTACCTGGTAAATGGACGAACTGAAACATCCTTATTGTTTAAGCAGTTGGTGTCTTACTATAAGGAAGGGTGTAGAAAATGCAGATCCAAAGTACAAACACATCTTAACTAGTAACGCCCACTTGTTTTCCACTGAAAATGGCAAATTCTGTTGGAAAAAAAGAGAAAAAGTAATCGAAATAGAACCACAAATAATCTGCTTAATAATCAAAACACAAGTATACAGGAAATGCTAGTTATATTTATTTTACATCATGGTACATATGCCATAAATCATAACATGTTTTTAAACATTTACCTTTCAAATCCCATGACCTTCATCACACAACACTAGAAGGTAAGAAACAATCCGGCTTTACTGAGCACTAGGCAATGGTCTTAAGGACTCAAACGTCAAATAGTGAGAAGTTTCTTATTTTAGAAAATCGAAAAAACTGCTGTCTTAAGTAGTCACATTAGAAGAAGATACATAGCAATCTTAAGTGCAATACAAAGTTTTTGATTTTTTTTTTTTTTTGAGACTGAGTCCCGCTCTGTCATACAGGCTGGCATGCAGTGGCGCGATCTCGGCTCACTGCAACCTCCACCTCCCGGGTTCAAGCGATTCTCCTGCCTCAGCCTCCCGAGTAGCAGGGATTACAGGCACACACCACCACCTAATTTTTTTGTACTTTTTAGTAGAGACAGGGTTTCGCCATGCTGGCCAAGCTGGTCTCGAACTCCTGACCTCAGGTGATCCGTCTGCCTCGGCCTCCCGATTACAGGCGTGAGCCACCGCACCCGGCCCAATTTATTTATTTATTTTCTCAATACGAAGCACCTTCTCTGCCCTCGACGATTAGGCCTCGTGTGACCCTCCGAGGTTGTGACTGCTAAGTGGTTTAAGTTATTTACACCTGAGGCCAAACACAGCCTTAACGAAGTTGAAGGGTTAGTACTTTTAACTTAGCCAGCTGGTTTACAAAGCCTCTTCCATAACCAGAGGCCCTGATTTCCTCATGATTTTCCAATGACCTTCATTTCGGGTCCGACGACCTCCAGCTCAGCTTTAAGCCATACACCTGGCAGCAGGGGCCTCCAGGAACCATCCCAGGGCTTTCTCCGGGGCGGGGGAGGGGGCGTCAGGCGGTTGATAAAAGAGGCAAAGCTTCCGGATCTACCTACCCATTCCTTTAGCGGCTACGCGCTAGGATGCCCAGCTTCCTCACTGGCCCCTGGGGTAAGTGAAACGCTACTCTGCGTCTCAGCCTAGTTCCTGGCTTTCATCTCCCTCGCCACAGCCCGGAGGCGGCCTTTCAGGTACGCGAGTCACAGCCAAGCGCCCCCTCCCCCAACGAAGTCGAGCCCCTTTATACACTAACCTTCCCAGGGCCCTCCTCATAGTGGCTCCTACGGACCACAGAGGTTGTGAACCTCCGGATGCTGTGGCCCAACATAGCGCTGCTGGAAGCTCTGCAAAAGGCGCAGAGACCGAGGACGGATGAAATGGCGGCACCTCACCAAGACCTTGTTTTCACGACCTTGTTCCCCCAGTGCTCAAGGACCGAAAGGAAAGATGGGAAATGAAGGGGAGCCTTGAGGAAACGCAACAAAGCGGAGATCTCAATGGATTGTGGGAATTGTAGTTCAGAACAGTGCGGCGCCTTATCAGCCCCCGAAGGATTGTGGGAAATGTAGTTTCGCGCCAGGGTTAGGTCTAGGATTCCTGGGGGCCTGTTACCGGAAACGATTTTTTTTTTTTTTTTGAGACGGAGTCTCGCTCTGTCGCCCGGGCAGGAGTGCAGTGGCGCGATCTTGGCTCACTGCAAGCTCCGCCTCCCGGGTTCACACTATTCTCCTGCCTTAGCCTCCCAAGTAGCTGGGACTACAGGCGCCCGCCACCGCGCCCGGCTAATTTTTTTGTATTTTAGTAGAGACAGGATTTCACCGTGTTAGCCAGGATGGTCTGGATCTTCTGACCTCGTGATCCGCCCGCCTCAGCCTCCCAGAGTGCTGGGATTACAGGCGTGAGCCACCGCGCCTGGCCTGGAAACGATTTTATTGAATCAAGTGAAGCAGTTTCACTCCATGTACTCTAGTCTATTGAACAGGACAATAAACCCATTCCTTTTCTTTTCTTTTTTCTTTTTATTTTAAATAAAGTACATGCTAGGTATCAATGATTTCAAGGACTTTTGCCAGTGCTGAGAGATATGTGCTAATGATCCTGGCTGAAGAAACAAAGCATAAACACAAGTAACCAAACAACATGCAGCACAAAGGACTTCAGAAAGAAAACTGAAGTACTAAGGTAATGATCACTAAAGATAAAGGGAATCAAATAGAACAGAAGGAAGAACAAAGGGCAAGGAAAACTCAAGTCTGGTATGAATACAGCATGTGTGAGTAGTAGAAGAGAAAACCGGCCTCTCATACCTGGAGCTAGCCTGGACTGGGAACTGGTGTCCGCCTAATGAACGTACACAATTTCAGCAAGCAAAAGCATCCAACAAGACCACTCTGACAGTGTTCATCAAGAAAATAATATGATCACCGTGTAATCATATCTGAACACAGATAAAACATTGTCCAAGCCACAAAAATGACCGAACATCACCCTATCTGGTTTAATATGATGACTTCTGCTTCTTTACCAGTTACAGTCTTAGCCTGGATCTAGCTTTCCTTCCTCCTAAGATTTAGGAAGATAGCCAATATTAGGGGAAAAAAATCCCAAATCCAACAAGCATTTTCTAATATTTTACGGAGAACTCTTAAACATCATAGTTTCTCACAGTATATGGTGTCTCTTACTGCAATGAATAATAAACACCATTTGTCAATTACAGGTGTGCTTCTGGTGGTCTTGAGAAGAAACCAGTGATAAATGAACGTGGGAAAGTGGTGTTAGGTTAGATTGTGAAAGACCCTAGTAACCTAAGTGTTATGTTATTCATCTGTGGGGGAATATGTTTTTCCTCACGTGTCTCATTTATAGAGCATTAGGAAACAATTCAAATACGACCTAAGGTTTGCTTTGAAAAGGGCATAACATATATGCTTTGTTTTGTCTATTTTTTTTTTTTTTTTTTCAGTTTTTGGAAGAGAACCACCATGCCCCCCCACCAAAAAAAAAAAAAAAACGCTTAAATTAATATTTTGTTTCAACAAGTAGCTTATTTTTGAGTAGGGGTTCAAGAAATGCATCATAACTGGTGTCCCCTACCACCTAATTTATAGAAGTTATGTGACATTCATTTTTTTTTAACATTCCATTCACTGCCTTTGCGTATTAAAGGATTCTGATTTAACTATAATTGAGAGAGTTTTTCACACTTAATATTTCTGGATTATACTTTTCAATCTAGTGTAAAGTAATGTTATCTGTGGATTTGGTTCATTGTTGCTTCTAATTCACATTAATTGAGCCTCCATGGGGTATCTGGCTTTGAGTTAACTCTTTAGGGACCTGCAGGCCAGAGATTCCAGAATATGGTTTCAGAATTGTCTGCCTACTCATGGACTTTGTGGTAAGTTAAAAATAAAATAAAAAAAATACG